ACAAAAAGACTAAAAAGCCCTTAATTCAATCTTTCACTCCTACACAACGATTACATTAAGCAAGTGGGCCCACTAGGGCTTCCCACCTGTCTTGGGCCGTCTACTGTAGCAGTGAACCGGTATAGGTTGGATGGGTTTAGCCAGACTAACAGCCCACTGCTCCCGTGGCTAAATGAATTGAACCTCATGATTAGCACTAACCTTCTCAGTTACACCACCGCTGAGACACATGAAAGTATTTAATTTGATTAAATATTTAATGATGGAAGAATATGATGATGCAGAAATATATGCTTAGCCCTGATCACTCATAAGCACAAGCTTTTGAGTTGAAAATGAATTTAACTAGGATCATATCAAGCACGACATTGATCCCCTTGATTCAACTCCTAACAAATGATATAAGAGGCATCGCTTATCTTGGAATCAAATCGTCGGTCATATAATTCATAGCTCCTATATGTTTTTGGTGATTTCTACCATGATCGAGCAAGATTCAAAACAGGAGACACATGATAAGCGCAAATAATTAAATGGGCTTTTAGTATATTCTCGATGATATTAAATGCAACTGATGAGAGAATTCTCATGCGATTAGAAGATTATTAAGACAAATAAAAGTATTAATTTAATCACACATCATACAACAACAACATCAAGCCTTTGTCCCCCTACGTGGGCCGTGGGGGTCAACTACATGAATCCTTTTTCGACATTGTGTCATGTTAAAAGTCAAATTCTCATTTAAATCTACTAAAAAAATATCATTTCTAATATTTTCTAGCCAAGTCTTTTTAGGTCTACCTCTACCTCTTTTAACATAAGTTAAATCTAATACCTAAACTTTCCTAACTGGGTCATCGAAAGGCCTCCGTTTAATGTGACCAAATAATCTAAGGCGACTCTCCCTAATCTTATCTTCCACTGGAGCTACTCCAACCTTTTCACATATATGCTCATTTCGTATCCTATCTCTAAGGGTAAAGCTGCCACTGATCCATCTAAGCATCCTCATCTCTGCAACACTTAACTTAGCATTATGCTTCTCTTTTAACGGCCAACATTCGGAACCATAAAACATTGCAAGTCTCACCGCCATCTTATAGAATTTTCCCTTAAGTTTAAGGGGGACTTTTCTATCGCACAATAAGGCCAATGCATTCCTCCACTTCAACCATCCAACTTAAATTATGTTGATAATATCTTCATCTATTTCATCTTCACTCTAAACAATAGATCCAAAATCTCTAAAAATTGTACTCTTACTAATAACTTTCGTCCAAAGTCACAATAATTTAATCACACATCATATATTTAAAAAAATACATTCATGCAGAAACATCAAACAATTAGTCTTTAACCACTCATTAATAAATATAAATTTTTTAGTTAACAAGATATTTGATCTCAACTAAATCAGACTTACAATATTAGAAGTTTGAAGAATCATCTGGGCCCTAACATTGGCCACATTGTCTATTTATGGTTGCAGCCTTTGGCATCCAAGGAAATCATGATGAAATACAGAAGAAACAAATTCACACGACCATGAAATAGACAATTTTTTATTGCCCTTTTTCTAGTTTTTCACTAGTAGAGTTGCACAGGACCACAACAATAGAGAGGAGAACATATCACAAAAATATATGGGATTGCAGTTTCCACGTGTGCTCTTATTTGTATTTTATCTTCACATACGTTCAAGCATCACATCAATCATCTCTTAAAGGACAAACAATTGTCTAGCAGATAGTGAATGGCTGATTGTTAATGAGATAGCCTTCGTTAGATGCATGCACAACTAGCAGAAATATAATAAATGAAAATAAAAACTTGACCAACTTATTTAGTGTCAAATTAATGGCACATATATCATGCGCATCTAATGGAGAGGAAGAATAAAGAAATAATTAACTTTGCAATTTCAGAATGAAGAGAAAGATAAGTTACAAATGAAAGATGATTGTAATATCAAAGATAGTTTTTGATAAATGTAATTCCAATTGTGTTTTATCAAAATCCAAGCACTCTTTTTGTTGTCATAGTGGAGTTTTCTAACTTTGCAAATATCACTTTATGTTCGTCATCACAGTGGAGTATTTTAGCTTCGCCAAAATTGATTTTTTTAGTTTGTTCTTTTGTAAATATTTTGATTTGTTCTATGACTTGATTAGCTTTGGTGTCGACTTGGCATCAATACCCAAAGTTGAAGATGCCGCAAAAGAAAGGTCAATAATGTGTCCAAGGACATGTTATGGAAATCATAAACAAAAAAAATAATGATGTGTGCAAGGACTTGTTTAGGAAATCACGCAACAAGAGATACAAAGATTTCAGCAACGCTTGAAGTCCTCAAGCAAGGAGGGCATGTGGAACACATTACAATTTAAAACCATGGGGAGGATGAAATTCATTCCACTAAATAGTTCATGAGAAGTAGAACGAAGAAGAGCTATTGCATCATCACTATCAATGTGAAAGGAAACACATTATGTTTGACTAATATTCATAATGCAAAAGCATCATATGAAAATTAAGAATAACAATCATATAAAACATTATTGACACCATGAAATTAAGAACATATTGATATTAGATTATAGTTGATGACACCTTCAAGATATAAACCACATCATAAAGAATAAAGAACACCTAGCATCAATGACCTCCTACAAATTAACATATGACCGAGGCAAAATTATAAAATACAAGAATAAGAAATTCTAATGTTCTACAATATAGATCTCTTCTTCTTCCTCCTTCCCTTTCACTACAATTTTTTATATTTTATTTGCACAAATTTCATAAAAATGTCCTGAATAAAAAATACAATATTAAAATCTTGATTTACAAGCTAAGCATAACTTATTTAGTTGCAAAAGAAAAGCATGAGAATCTTATGTTCACATAATTCATTCTCTAGTTTTTGCATAGTAGCTCCATAATGTTCTAGTGTATTGCAAAGTTATCAAAGGCAAGTTGGCCGCTCGCCTAGGCACCCAGGTGAAGGGAGGCTCCAATGCCTCAAATATTTCACAAGCAATGTGCCCTATACTAACAATGATAACAATCACACTAGACCAGCCGCTATGACTAAGGCAACTATGAAACAAGCAAAACACACAACACATCAAACCCGAACTTATGTTGTGGCTCCATACCACATTGGAGGGCGGGACAAAGGAAATAAGAAAAGTGAAAGCGGGGATCGATCAATCCCTGCTTCATCAATTCCCCTCAAACCGCTCATTCAACAGACAAACAAGAATGGAGGAAGAAGGGAATGAAGGGAAATAGAGCTAGGCGAAGGACTATGTTGTTAGTAAAGCTAAGATAAAGCACAACACAACAGAAATATTTGCTTGGTAATTCCATATCTACCAGTGAAGAAAATGGGTTAAACGATCAACACACCATACCTAGTAATCCCTTGCCTTTCAAGCAGCCTAGTTTAAAGATTAAATTAAACTTACACTAAGGAAGCTGCTAACATAAATTTCTATCTGCTTGTTTAAACTTGAAACATAATTTTTAATTTTATGGGCACCTAGTTTTAGACAAACCATTTGACAACATTATTATTTTGGTACTTACTACAAAACTTTAAAATGTGTTTTTTCATATTAAATTTTAAGATTTTATTATGCGGATTAGTGTATTGTACACCCCAAAAATATTTCTCACAACTAAATTAGATAAAACTCTTTAGAGCCTCACTTCACTCAAGAAAATGCCTAAGGCAATGCTTAGAATCTCAGGTTTGCTATATTGACTTGAATAAAACTCATTACCATTATCGCAATCATAAGTGGTGCCACACCATCTTATCCACAAATAATTTACAAGAGGAGGTGCAATAAAGATGGTATTGTTATGTATGGAATCTGAATGTATTGATCAATATGGTTATTATGTTGTCTCGGACCTCAAAGCTTGTCGTGTTCGCTGGGGAATGTGGGGGATTTATCTCCTACATGAGTTCAGGTGCTTTGGAAGATTTTTTTTTTTTTCCGTACAACATCCCAGCACTGTGTCCCCGAGCGCCCCAGCATCGAAAGACAGAGAACAGAGTGTCGCAATGGTATAAATATAATGTCATAGCGGATAAAGACAGGTTTAAGTGCCACAGCGCCCCAAACTGGCGCCGCAGCGTTGCGAGCCGGACTGGACGGTTTTCTTTCTCATTTCTTTCAAGAGCTGCATCCCTTGGGGTTATTTTACTTGGCTTTCTCTTGTATTTTGAGTGTGTAGACATTGAGAACGGTGTATGTGAGAAGAGAAGCAATGAGAGAGAGCGAGAGAGAAGAGAGATATGTACTTATTTCTCTCAATTTTCATAGTAGATTCCTTGGTGTGGTGTTGCTCCGTAGTTTTTTTCCTATTTTGAATTTTTCCACGTTAAACCTTGGTGTCATTTATTTTCGTTGCTTTTACTTTCTTACTTGTTTCGTCTGTGCAGTGTTTAACTCCTCATCTCCCCAACAAGAACCACAACATATCATCGAACTCATTGTAAGCAAGTTGATGGAAATCCTAACAATGCCAAAATCTCTAGCAATGCCAGAAAACTATTGAGCAAAGAAACCACGCATTCTATTTAAAAAGGAATTCGAGAATTCATGCAACAATAAGTTACCAACAGAAAAGGGATGACTCCATAGAGCTCAAACATGCATCAGGACAAGATGATGACGCCAAACTTTCATCAAAGTTAAAGTTTATAGCAATTCATATTGCACTCCTCTCTGCAAATGCTATATTCTAAATCAATAAATCATTATAAAATCACATTACCAATATGCTGAGTATAAATAGGATAACTTAAACGGATTAAAATTCAGAAAGTAGATTTGTTGTGTTCATATGCAAGACCAGATAAACTCGCTCAAATTGAAGCAAAATGGCATAGAAACCCCAGCAGAAGTCTTGGGAAAATGCTAAACTTAACTGCAAGGAAAATCAAGCACCTACATACAACACAGAAGCACTTGAAGAAGGCATTATGTACAAATACATGATCAAATTACTTCTTAGCAAAGGTTTACAGCCAAAAGTTGCAAGCTACAGCTTTTCAATATTGACAGGACTACTTCATAAGATTTCTCCTTTTTTTTTTTTTTACAGTATCATAAACCAGGCTTACCTTCTACTTCTCCGCCTACTGTGAAGCAAAATCTCTATGAAATAAAAAACCAAGAACAAGTCATCTGAAGCCGCCCATTGCTCCCTTCTCCAAAGTTCTGACCATCATCAAAGCATTCCTCCCAACCTTCCCGTTATCCAACTCAACCAGCATGAAGCATATTTCTTCAACCCCCTCTTGTTTTACTTCGCAGATCATATTCACACTATCAGAACAAGTCAAATTCAGAACCAAAAGTGCGTGCTCAACCCCTCTAGCCCTACCTTCCCGCAAAACTCCAGCCAAAACTTTAACAAAACCCTTGACGTTCCTCATAGCCTCCCTCCCTTCTATACATTTCGCAATCAATCCCAGAACCTCAACTGCCCTCTCGGAACCATCGCTGGCAAAGCTTACCAGAGCGGGCACCGCGCCTGACCGCACAGCACGAGGGCGATTATCCGGGAACTTGCTGAGTTCGTAGAGCGCAGTGGCAGCCTCGCGGCGTTCTCTCCCCTTGCCGCTACGGATGAGGCCCGAGAGGGTCGGTATTGCAGAAGGGTGAGCGCCAATTGTGCACTTGTTGACCTCAACCACCGCAAGGCTGGTGAGGATGGTGGCAGCTAGGGCAGCGTTGGGCCCTCCGGCGGCGAGGGCATGGGTTAGGGGATCTAGGGCGCCATCCGCAACTAGGCCAACGCGAGCATCGTCGCCGTCCAACGAGAGGTAAAGGAGTATGCGAAGCGAAAGAGCTTGGAGGTCATCAGGATCCGATAACTCAGCGTGTCGGAGGAGGACAGATGGAGCACCGGAGTCTGCAAGACGGTGCCGGAAAGCAGGGTCTTCTTTGGTGAGGCGGAGGAGAAGTGAGAGCGTCGCAACGTCTGTGGGGTAAGAAAGAGAACAAATGAGAGCTTCTTGCCCCGAAAACATCGAATTCGAACGGGAGGGACCAGCCGTGAAAGGGGAGAAGTTGGCGATGAGAGAACGGAGCGCGTGATTAGGAATGAGAGAAGAGTGAGGAGGAAGAGGTAACATAGTCACCGGACAAGTCCGATGGCCGGAATCGATCCAACGCTGGATGGAGGCGCGTTCAAAGGTGTGGCCGGAGGCAAGGATCACCGGGTCTGTCATCACTTCGAGTGAAATCGGACATCGGAAATCATCCGGGTACACCACCTCCATAGATACCATTGTCACTCCTAACTCGCTATACCCACTTTCTTCTCTCGCCCTTCCTTTTTCACTGCCCCTTAACTTCGCCGGCGGCAGCCACTGAAAGACAGAATTGCGATCTTACGGGTAGATTTTTTGTTCCAGAGAGGAAAAAATGCGTGTGGGGTTTCTTCGGGGTTTTGCGTGCCCCTTTCGCCCTTCTTATCCGACTGTCCGACTGTGCTTTTTTGGCGTCACGGCAATGAAAAAAAAAATTATTTCAATATTTTTATTAAA